TTCAATAAAACAAAACCAGTTGCATAGGAATGTGCTTTCGAATCACCTGATTTCGAGAAAGAAATACTCTTTTGGTTTATACTTATATGTAATAATGTGTAATATTTCAACTTCAATAAAATACTGTATTTGAATTTTTTGACATTATTGCACAATACAGTCGAACAATAAATGAAAGAAAGACCTTTAGAAACTCTGAATTTTGTATCAGAGAAATTGAGATTTTCATATGGATGAATTACGAGAGCGTGAAAGTGTACAGAGTAAAGAATCGAAAAACAGGAAATATTGTGTACAAGGAAATGAAATAAATAAGGGGGGAAAAGAAGTAGGACGTCATAGAATCTCCCAAGCTGTATTTAATCAATGTTTGAAAATTTCTGTCATGGCTGTCATTTGTCAAGCCATTGGTATCCTAAGAGAAAAGAATTATAGACTAGAATATGTTACCAACAAAAAATTTTAAGTATTTCGCAATCTGAACTCTGGTCTCTTGCCAGGCCATCTCTCCCATAAAAATTCTGGTTCGAATCTAGCATTGGGCATAGTGCAGACAGACCACTGTGCAGCCCTGCGTTTAAATAAAAACAGTCTCGTGCTGACGCTTTCACCTTTTCTTCATTTCTTTAAAATTGAAATGAGAATGCTTTTATCATTTGCAAGAATTATTCGGTTTGTCTTATAAAAACTTTATAAAATAAAAAGGGCTTATTTTCTAATAAATTACATGAAAAGTAAAAATTTGTTTCTGTTAAGTTATTGCGAGTATTCCTTTTCTTTATAAACATATCATTTTGTTAAACAGATTTAGATTTTTTTTCTCGGAGTAAAACCAAGGATAAACAAATTAAAACCCTCATTTTTACAGAGATTGAATACGTTACATTAAAATAATTCTCGAGCCTCACCTCGTCATTACAGTCCTTGCCGACATTTCCGGTCGTGCTCTATCTAACGACCGTGCATCATGACTATATCTCTGCAACGTAGTTTCCATTTCCATAAAGGCTCTGTCGTAAGACTATCATATCCAAAGCATTCCATTCCTCCCTGCTTGTTTTCCATAATGGATTTGGTGTACAGGGATGACGGTTTTCCACTGCCCGTTTCAACACTCTGATCGCACAAAAACCAGTAAGCACCGCGTCTGGCAACTTGACAGGTATGTCTCTATGAAATAGCACGAGTATCCGTTGCATTATCAGCAGCTTGAGATATGCGACGATTGAACAAATGTGTTGATGAAACAATTTTTGTTGCTTCTCTAGACAGAGATCCTCCTTATTTATATTCTATGCTATTACCTGGGACGTGTGGACAACTTTTGCGCTTAGCCTTTGTGTTACAAGACGCCTCACTTTGCTTACCACAGCTGGGGTACGACTTGTTATAGGTCTCTTTCTAGTTGGTTCTGGTACCCCAAGTTGTTCCATATTCCTTTGTTTTCCAATGTCATTAAGTACAAGAGATATATCTATCATAAAAATTGCAAATCATCGATCTGAACACATCTTTAAAATCTCAGTGTATGAATATCTTGCGTTGGAAAGGACCTTTACATACCATTCCTAAGAGCGATACATTTTCAGTGGCGTTACTCTACCTATAAACGACAAACAATGCAAAAATGTAACTCTTATACATACCGCTCCGTAGTTGGTTGTGACTTTCTCAAGATTTACTGATTTGCACATTCAAAATAAAACGTACTAAAATCTCTGTATAAGCGGGCAAGTAGAGATAGCCTTAATAGAGATAACCTATTTTTTTTATTTTTTTTTTTTGCCAAGCTAGGTTAACTCTGTTAGAAATGGCAAAATTATCTAATAGTAAAAGAGCGAAATTGAATTAGGTGAAAAAAGAAAGATTTTATAACTAAAATTACAGCAGCAAATAAGTCAGTAACTGTATTTCTATCAGTTATTATAAAGTATTTTACCTGAAAGCAGAAAAACCTGAAAATTTATTTAAAAACTTAACGATTTTAAATATAAATTTAACAGGCTATAAGTTGCTGTACAAATTTTTTAATGGACGTTTGTCTAAGTCGTTCAAATATTTTCTTAAAATACTCATTACTTAGGTCGGTCCGTCGTAGTTAAGCGCAAAGCTATACCATGGGCTATCCGTGCTCTGCCCACCACGGATATCGAAACCCGAATTTTGCCGCTGAGTCACTGACGGAAATACACCATTACTAAGATTTTTCTACAAATAAATATGTAGTATTACAGATTAAAATGGTTCCTCTGACAAAAAAGGAACGGAAATGTAATTTCAACCACTTTAAATAATTTTGAATTTATTATGTGTTACACACAATTGCAAAAACGTCATTCTACTCGCATGAAGTTGCTCTTTATACGCTCCAACATTGCACATCAACATAGCAGAGAAAACAAGATGACTTCATTGAGAATGTTCTTCATGTGTGGAGAATGGAATTTGCAGGGAATGTTGTGCGCTTGATGTCAATATCAACTTCTTGCTCCACAGAGGGCTTGATTTGCCAAACATTCGAAGGTTTAATCCGTATGGAACCCCTATGACTTTGCATCAGTTGGTCAGAAAATTCAAAATGTACGTTTTAATGTTAATAACGTGACAAAGTTATTTTTTTTTCTCTATTCACAAATTTAATAAAAGCATCTACGGCAAATAAGGTCAAGAGGAATTGGTGGGAATGCATGACATGTTTATGCAACAGTCTCAAAACTCCTCCTTAGTGTGCTTGTCATCTTCATCCTTGAAGTTTTCGTGTTGTATTCTCTCTTTTTTTTAGCTCTGTAAACACAAGAAGTTTGTACTGGAGGCACGCGCCATTCAGCTTTTAGTGTTCATACACGCCCACCTGTCAGTTTGTCATTGTCTTATTTTCTGAGATCGCCTGGTCTGTGTTGGTTTTTATTACGTGAGATAAAGCTTCTTGGTAGGAAGGTGCAGTATTATTTTCTTAAAGTGACCCATTCACATAACACAGGAAATCTCAGACACGTGTAAGAATATATCAAAATAAGTCTGTGTGATTGGTAGCTTTGTCGCTATCATATTTCACATTTATCCTCTAGTGGCTCATTGGGTGAGCATCACGATTTATATCGCTAGAATCTGGGGTTAGATCCCTGCGGCAGACAGGGGGTAGATAACCTCTTGCGTAGACGTGCGCTAAAAGAAACAAAGAAACACATTTCTACATCCATAGACTTATTTTAAGATATGTATTCACATATATTTTAGTAACAGCAATACAATACTAATTCGTCGTAGAGGCCTGGAATTGCCTGGTTGGTGGTTAGGGCGTTTGACTTGCAATCTACGAACATGTTCACCCTTTTCAGCAGTGAGGGCGTTATAATGTGACGGTCGATACCACTATTCGATTAGAGTAGCCCAAGTACTGGCGATGAGTGGTGCTGACTAGCTGCATTTCCTCTAATCTATCACTTCTAAATTCAACAAACAAACAAATCGTCATGGATAACATAACATGCGCAAAAACTACTCAAGGCTATCTGCGCTACTCGTCCTTAATTTAGAAGTGATAGATTACAGGAAATGCAGCTAGTCAACACCATCCATCGCCAACTCTTGGGCTACTCCAATAAAAAAATGTTGCAGTCTGGAGAAGTGCACCCACACCATTAATAGCAGCAACAAATTTACAACCACAATTAAATAATATTATAGAATGTTGCCAAAAATACCGTATTAAAATAAATATTCCCAAAAATCAACCGGTAGTCTTCGCAAAACTATCAAAACACAAAAAGACCCAACCAAACTGTATACGAATACAGACCATAACATCAGCCAAATTCCTAAGATTAACCTAGGATTTTAAATGAATGTGGATTAAACACGTAAATAATATCCTAACAAAAGTTTGGCAACGCACGAATTATGCCAGGAGTCTAACGGGTAAAAAACAACGGAACTTCAGCCGACAACATAATCAAAATCTGCAGAACACACATACGTCAAGTAATTGAATAGTATGCCCGGCATGGATCAACGTAGCACCAAAACACATAAATAAATTACAAAAAATACACAATTCATTACTAGCTACAGTACTAAAATCCACTTCATCTAAGTTTATGCACAAATATGCAAATATACAAGTATTTTCCGATAGATTGCTACACAATACGCAAAATTATGTCGCGCAGAATTGGCACAAAAATGACATGCTATGTGAATTAGATCGCTATTGCATACATGATGAAGATAATCCTAAGTACCTCTCACCAATTAATATGTACATTAAAAATAAGCATTTAATAAGGCTACCATACACTAGACTGAGAAACCTACATTAGTTTTAATCTGCTACGACAGCATTAATAGGGTATTTTTGTGAAATGCTCTGGAGGAGTTTTAAAATGAATAAAACGTGTTAAATAAATGTGTAACTGTTCGTCGTGTGCAGGCTTTCGCAACAACGAATGAAGAGAAAATGTGTTTATTCACACGAATATTACAGTAATTACCTACACGGACACTGCCCTAAATGGGGTCAGAGTAAGTGCGGGGTACTCTGACCTTCATGTAATAATTAAATTAATATTCTTTAAAAACCAGCTACCATCTACCAGTGGGGGAGGGAAGAGGTGAAATGTACCTGACCCTCCCAGGTCTATAAAACCTAAATACCTGTAAAGAGAAAAGCGAAAGAGAAGATAACATAATATAATAAGTCATCAATCGGTTCACTTAGATGGTTATTGGTGATGTGAATTTCAAGTAAAAAATACAGAAGTGAATAGAAATAGCGAGTTGTCTTACATTCGAGTCAAAGAAAATGCTCTCGGTACTGGACTCCTTCTTAGCATTAAAACGTGCCACATGAAAATTATATTTAATTTAGATTTAAGTAATGTAACTTTTTAGCGAAAACTAAACTTAACATCAAATTAAATCAAACCATAACTTCACAAATATCTCTATATGTTCGACATTTCCGCTTCTGAGTTTTTTTGGAGCATCATACATATATGCTCTCAGATCTTGAAGAAGTGGAGGAACTCGAATACGGAAGACCGATCTCTATAATATAAGAATAAAAAAATATTAATGACAATATATATGGAGTAAAAGATGAATTAACAAGTGACTTTGAAAAAGGAAAAAGAAAGTGTTCGAAAAGAAATAAATTATTTTGAATAATAATATCAAAATATTGAAAATAGAATAAACATTGTACAGAAATAAAATGATTTTTAGGACTAGACAACTTAAATTAGAAGATCAAATTAGAATAAATAATTTGATATTCTAGGGAATACAAAAAAAACAAGTAAAAGTCACTTTCATATTAAAAGGATTTTTTAAAGAAAACTCTGATTAATAAATTAATTTCAAACAGGAGGTTGTCAAGAAAGTAGAAAATTAAAGGGCCTATTGAATTGGCGAGAGAGAGATAATAGAAATTCACAAATGATTGTTAAGTTCCTAAATATGACGATGTATAAAATAAAATCACGAATGTGATTAAAACGAAAGCAAAATAATTAAACGAAAATGGTCAAAGATTACAAGTATATGTTTATGAAATTATAGTTATGAAAGAAGACAGAGAGTTTGTATTTGAATTTCGCGCAAAGCTACACGAGGGCTATCTGCGCTAGCCGTCCCT